TTCAAACAGTTTCAACTATTTTTGTTCAAACCGGATGTAGAGTGACATTAAATTTGACCTTGCAATTAGTAGCACAGTTTGTAAGAAGTGTTTTATGTGACTTTAACTTAGTCACAAGGGTGGCCAATGGATGAATCAGCTGTGTGTGTGTGTGTGTGTGTGTGTGTGTGTGTGTGTCTGTGTGTGTGTGGGACTGAAGGGGGGCTTACCTCAATTGATACTGACAAATATTTTCACTCAGCACAATTAGTGCATATGGTATAGAGTTCTTGCCGTGCACAATTTTCAAAAACTCTTTCCTTAATGAATTGATCAGCAATATTCCCTTTCATGTTCATCCTGCTCAGTGACATTACCAGTGGGGGCTGCTGGCTTTATCTCCAGGGGGGGCTTCACAAAAAACAATCAGGCAAAAATCTACTGAGGTATCACAGCAGTGTATTTGAATGAATGAAAGGGCCTGTATTTTGTATTTGCTGAGTATGTGTTATAAGGAAACATGCTTAGTTAAGGTAAGTTAAGATACTTCAATTGGTGCAAATTCTTTATAATAGTTGTCTTTTATACTACATTTTGTTATTAGGGGAAACAAAAATAAGCGAAAAATGCCTATTTAAATGTGCAGAAAGTAAGACATTTTCATTATTTTTTGTGACTTTGCTTTGCCACTTTAAACAACTCTGTGCACCTCTGTACCTAAACTGGCATAGGATGTTGTTCCACATGTTGACACAACGTATTCACTTTATTATCCGGCTGATCGGGTCCAAGCTTTTTGACTCGGAGCTTCTCTTCCTCTGTCAAATGCCGTTGGTAGTGATTGAACGGAATTGTCTTTCTCTTCTCTTGCTGGCTAAATTACACAGTCTGTTGCGACTTCTTTGACTCTATGCTCAACAGCAACTCCTTCTGGTGCATTGCTCATCAGATGTACTTTGAGCCTCTCTGCCGCTGCTACAACCCAGTGGTTGGTGGTGTGTAAATTAACAGCATGAAGATAAATGCGGTCGGAACGCAGGTGCCGTGCTCCCCAACAAACTACTATCTCTTGTGTTGAAAAAGAGCGAACTGCGCAGGTACGACTCATAACAAGAGTGAATGGGAAAATATTGTTGAGCCCCAGGCTGGAAAAATACCATATGTGCAGTGGTGGAGTCAATTATTTCAGGCCTTTAGGCATCGTCAAACTTTATAATCTACATTTTATTGCAGATTAAACATTTTACCCACCAACAATATAATATTTACCATGCTAATTTAAAAATAATAGATGGGGTTTTTTTAAGTCACTGTCTTATTCAATGAAGGTGCAGGATGTGGGGAGTGGAGATGCACCATAGTGCCGTAAATTGGCAAGCTGCTACAAGGCATTACAATCTTCCCCTGAAACATTTGGAAGCTAAATGTTTTTCTCCAGTACGCAGCAGTGCTAGTTTCAAAGATATACATTCTGAGTGCCAGAGGGAAGAAAGCAGAGTCTAAAACAAGCGTACAGCAACACGCCTCAGTATGTCTATTTATCAACTTCTTATGGATAATGTACCAAATTATTTACACATCAAACAGAAACAGAGCAACATTGAGATCCCACTGCGGTCCTTTGTCCGGCTGACTGCTGAGAAGAATTTCTACCGGTAAGGCCCCGAGGCTTGTGAACTTTCTTCACCAAACCCTCATTTACTGCAGCTCTGCAGCCTTTTATGGACAGGTATTGCACAATCGGCTATGGGAGCTTGTGAGCTATCCTTATATAAGGCGACTCAAATGCACACCAGAAACAATCAGCTGAAAGTGGCAGAGCTGCAGAATGGGCAGTCCCAGAAACCTTTTCACAGTACAGTGTGTCATTTGATTCACAATTAAAACTCTAAATTATTTAAACTAGTATATCTTTAATGAAGAGGATAGTGGTTCCCACCACCATATTCCCGGCCAATCTAGGGAGTTTAGTTCAGTTCATTTCATTCATGACTCCGCTCTTCCCTCTCCGTTTTACAGGCTCTGAACGGCCAATAATTAATGAGAGACACCACACAGTAGCCTTTCCATGTATCTACAGCAGGTTCTCAACAGAGAGTCCATATAGCTGCTAATTATAGTTTGGCATGGAACATTTCAGTGTGTCCAAATCAGAGCTAGGGATGGGTAGCTAGCTACTGACCTTTCTATGGCTCTGAAAGGCATCAGCTGTGAATAGCAGTAACAATGCCCTCAGTGACATTACAGTGTGATGTGAACAACATTTCACAGATCATGGAAGAAGATTGTCGAGCTGGGATCACTGCTACTGAGAAATGATAGACGCCAAACTCTTGTCTGATATACTGTATGTTCCGTTATCCTATTATGAGCAATAATGTAAGAGATCTATTTTTGGGGAGTTTTACCTTGTAAATGATCTTGCTTCTCCAAATGAAACCCCGACATTGTGCTCTCTCTCCTGCCTTGCTCTCTGGTTGCTGTGTGTTATTATTGTGGTGCTATTCTCAAACCCAACCACCGAAGGTGGGGGTATACAGAACCGCCATGTTGACCATATGGTCAGTTTATTATGTATGCACCGGCAGAGCATCTTAATGAGAGTCCACATCCTGACAGTTACATTCTTTTGAGCCCAGACCACACACACCGACACAAATGATCACACACACACACACGGACACGTTAAGATGCACACACATGCACACACTGACTGTGTACACACACTACTTAAGTCACAAATGAACTACGTATGCACACAAACAAAAACTCTTGTGCATAGCCCGTTTCCTTTCACACACACACACACACCAGAAAACTGTGAAAAATCCTTCAAGCATAGGCATGGGCTCAAATCAAAGCCCTGTACTGACACCCAGTGGCAACAGTCACTCACAAAATGTTTCACCGGCCAACAAGGTCAGCACTCGACACAAACTGATTAGCTGAGGGTTGTTTTTGTGCTGCAGCAATTGCTAATGCATTTGACATACAGCCAAAATGAGTACTGCACAATTAATCAAAATGTTATTTAAATTGCAATACAATCAATTGGCATCTTCTTTTTTTAAGATTATTTTTTTGCCTTTCTTAGAAAGTGGGAAAGAAATGCAGCAGGTTCACAGGAATGACTCGAACCCGTGCCATTGCAGTCAGGACAGGCTTGGTATGTGGTGTGACCGCTCTACCGGGAGATCTACCGGGAGATCATAGATGTATGTTTTCCAATGAAAATGAGAATGACCCACTAATATTACAAATCATATCACAATTGCAATATCAGTCAAAATAAATAATCGCAATTAAGTATTTTTTCAAAATCATTCAGCCCAAATGTTGACATGTTGGAATGATGTACAGCCTACAAGGAATGGATCAACCTGACTATGTTTACAAACAGTGATATACATGTTGTACTCTATGGGGGGGAAAAGCCCATCCATATTAACCCTGTAACCATAAAACTGTGTTGTTGTTGTTGTTGACTGAACCTCATCAACAACAACAACAACAACTGCGTAATGGTTTTCATGGTGCTGGCTGGGTCATACGCTTTACAACCAAAGTGAGATAAAGAAAAGATAAACCTCATCATCTCAGGCCTCTATTGGGCCATTGCTCATCAATTATAAAACATAGTTCATATGTACACTAGTACACAAAGCTCAATCCAAAACACTATATTGGACATCTTACAGTCATACATAGGGATGGTATTATAGTAAAAATATTTTTTTTGTATATAACAACAACAACAACGGTACTGAATACAAAGTAGGCCGCCTATATGTAAGACTTGTAACGGTAAAAAATGTTTTAACATGTCCTCAGCATATTTCTCTGCAAGATGTACAACAGGAAACACCTGCTGTGACCGTAAAAGGTTCCATATGAGACAACAGCAGAAGATACGCTTTTGGGGTGTTGAAAAGGAAATATGCGAGACATAGCCCCCTCCTTCTCATGTCCTGTTGACTTCTCTTACTGTCTGTTTTGTGAGGGTATAAATTAGAATGTACTCTGCAATACGCGTCTGTGAATCTGTTCTCCTTGCTTGCAACGCAACAAATTGACTTTACAACTTTGATCATTCATCAAGACTGTTTATTTGATATTGATTGAAAACCTTCACTTTCTTCTCCCGAATAGTCATAGAAATATTCCACAACAGACTCTCCCAAAACAACTCCAGTGCACCCTCCACACAGCATTATCTTTAGTACAGAACAGAGAGTCCCTTACCAACACACCCAATGCTGTTCAACCAAAGACCAGCACTGCTGGAAACAGTCCATGTGGACAGCAAAACAAGTGGAACGCATTGGCCACAATGCAATCTGGGAACCCACCAGCTATCATCTGATGAAGATTTAGCTAAAATTAGAATGTAAACTCCCTACTTGTGAAACAACCCTGTTGTACGCGCCATCGCTCAACTCCAGTCTCGCATATCACGTTGCTAATCGGACCGCAAGAAGGAGAAGCGCACGGAAAAGGAATTATTATCCTGGATATCGGCTGGCTACACGGGAAGCCCAGAAATATAGCCCCTCGCCCCCAGAGGATCCGATGGGTTTCGAGATTGCACAACATGTAACAAACTGTGGAACACATAATCAAAACATTACTAAATGTGATTAGCAATTATCTTGACAAAGTAGTGTTATTGCTAATATTACTGTTTTTGTGTATTGTGTGAATTCCTAATAAATTTGTAGTTCGATACTCTGAAAACAATTGACAGAGAGAAAGAGAGAGAGAGAGAGTCTGGAGGAGTCTGGCATCCATGTCTGTATGTGTGTTTTAGTGTAAATGACCCTTGTACCGTTTTATTGACACTCATAAAAACTGGATATATGACTTGAAATTTTAGTCAGTGATGAACTTTGATTAGTCACGCCACACACACAGAAATCACGTACATTACTCATGTTGGGCGGTTACGGTATCTTATGCTCATGGTTACCTTTCAATATCTGTCAAATCTGCACACGCACTTTCTGGTTTGCATAGCTTTCATAACTCATAACACACACACACACACACACACACACACACACACAGGGGGAAGGACCTGACTGATACGGGTGTCTTCTCCTTAAGGTAGTGATAAACAGATGCAGACGAACAAAGGACTTTGACACAGTTGGTTTCCAGTGCACTCGACAAATAGAAACTTTTCAAACCTTTCAACGGGTTTCATTCAAAATACTTTGAATGGAACCTGTTTCCTGCGGTTAGAAAGTTGCTGATATTTAAGTTTGGAGGAAATTTTGTGAGCCGAGAGTGAGTGAGAAGAAATGCAGCTCAGGGTGGATTACTGAAGACCTGAGGATAAATATCTAGTCAACAGAAGAATATATCAAGGTAGATATCTTCAGATGTCTTCTATGTAAACGTGATTTAAATGATCAATGCTGACCATGATTTAAAGAAAATATATTGTCTTCTAATCTATTTATTCTGTTATTTGCCGTGATAATGTTTCATATTATACTGTCGGTAATCCATCAGAAAAAAAACTTCCTGTTTGAATATTTTTCCTCTTTGAAACAGATTCTACAGTGACCGTCATAAGGAGTGGAGTAGACGAGCAAGATGGAGGAAATCAAATTCAGAGGAAAGAAAAGAGAGGGAAGGCACAGGTAAAGACTAACCTACCGTGTGTGTCGCTTTTTGACAGTTTCATTTCCGTTTTATTTACAGGGGATCATCTGAAACATGAATTGAAGTTAAACACATATGTATGTATGTGTGTATGTGGACAGCAGCACACTGAGCCCAGCTACCAAAGTTTAATATTTAGCTGATCATATATATATATATATGTAATTGGGGAAATAAACGTGTGTTGCAGACATTTTCTTTTTAGGCAGCAGAAATCCATCTTCTTCTTTGGGGGGGGGGGGGGGGTCACAATAACATTTGTATTCTTTCTTGCATTCGGATTAGTAACCTGGGCCGACACAAAAAGTAGTTAAACCAAAATGTCCGCATCCGCATACAGGAGGGTGCGCTGACTGTGCTACAAGTGGTTACTTAGCAAACTAATGCGCAGACTAAACGAGTTAGAAAGTAGTACCAGTACAACCACTACGCGTTTGTGGTGTGCGCAGCTGTCTGTGTACGAGTTGGCTTCAGACATTGTAGAGATCACTGAAAACAAAGAAAGAGTTGGATCAAGGGAATGTTTTTGTATACTTGTTTGATTCATAACTTAAGAATCGATTATTACAATATTTGAATGATGAAAATGGCTAAAGCTAGCCCTAACCCGCTATAATTAATAGATCACAAGGTTAAAACACCACATCAAAGAAGCTGTATCCTGTCATCAAATTTAGTGAAAACTCATAAGTCATTTAAGATGATCCTCACTTAATGTCTGAATATCTCAGTCAAACTATAATATTAGAAAAGGTACTGCACAAATTCATACAAATGCCGCAGATGCATCATCCGTTCATAATGGATCCAAAGAAATTTGGATTTGTTCACATCACTGGTTTTTAGTCAGAAATGTCCATTGGTCTGTCCAGATGGTCCAACGCAGAAATGCTTTTTACTGCCATAATTTGTGTACAATAGTTGTAAAGAAGAGGTAAAGGTCACGAGCTTCGATATGTGCTAAACCGAAACAACTTACTGGACGTGAAAGAGAAAGAATTCAAAGTGAACTTATTTCCTTATTTGAGTGAGGACAGCGCAGGGAATCCTCTCACCAACAAAGCTACCGGAGGAAAGTTCATCAGGCGTCACGTTCAAAGGTTGTGCGATTGTCCGTGTTAGTCGGACTGATTGAGAGAGAAATGCGTTCAACACAGCATTCAGCCACTCCACGTCCTCTCTGCAGGCACACCATCGAGATCTATCGACATCTTAATCATTGCCAGGAGGTCAATAGTTAGCGAGATATTGGTAATGGATATTATCATTAAGTTGACATATCATAACATATTGTATTAGCAGGTTTCTATTTGGTATAAATTACAGTTTGAGGAAACAGTTAATTTCCCCTGTGCACTGCTGAGCTTCTCTTTATAGCTGTGTCTTATATCATCCCCGCAGATACTGAGTGCTGTTAGGGGAACGCTGCTCCATTTAAAACGTTAAATACGCAGCACAGTTTTAATCACATTCTGCATGTTGGTGTCTCAGGTCAAAACAATCAGGGTTGTTTCTGTTTTTTTTGTTTTTTTTAAATAGACTTAATTTTTGTTCTGCTATCCTCTATATAATTAGTAGAACGTTTTAGAGGAAATCCACTTCTATTTTCATCAACAAACAATGATTTTAAAAACTCTGAAGTTCAAAAAAGCAAATACTATGTGTGAAGAGATATCTGAAGTCTGAGAGTACTAGTGAATGACTGCATTCAGTGTTATGCAACTGTGATGAGTTATATAAGTGTGTTGCAAGATCACCAGAGGGTCAACAATTAAAATGTAGGCAAGTTGAACCAATATGCTCTGTTCTGAGATGTGTACTGGCCCACAATAAAAAACACAGAACACTTAATTGTAATTTTGTGACAGCTGAAAGTTGTTTTTTTTCTCTTCTACAATCAGCAGCTTTTCATGGCTACTGACGATTGATATGTAGTGACTACTTATTTATTTACCTCATGAAAGAAGAGAGTGCTCACCCTCATCTCCCAAACACACTTTCTGCCAGCGTGGCTGTGGACTCGCTGGCATTTCTGATAGTTGTTATGGCAAAGATCACGAAGCGTTATAAATTCCAGGAAGACAAGCCACACCCCGATAATTATTCTGTACTTGGCACTAATCGGGCAGCAGTGAGGGACGGCACAGAGAACGATAGAAACTCAAATGTCAACTCAAATTGTACCAAATATGTCTGACCCCTCTGAGAACTTGTACAGTGTAATTTAGACTAATAAAAGAATATATTGAAGATCCAGGTCCATCTGAAGACATAACCAGCTTCCAACTCACACACACCCTGATCATGACAGATAGCAAAATCGTCTGAATTATCATCATTGTACGATAATAAACATCTTTATTTTGTCTCAATAGCTTCCTTGTGACAGGTCAATGCGTCCTCTTGTTTACGACTTATCCCGTGTGTTAAACCCTTCTTCATTGCCACATCTTTACAGTCACCTTCCTTTTTGACATCGTGACCTCCAGCTTTAGGGCACTACACGAGCACATTCAGGCTACACAGCATTCTGTTTTCGCTGAAAAAATCTTGTAATTAAAACATGTTTCAAAGTCCAGCATCGGTTTATAATTCAATGGTTCCCCACTGGTGTTCTACCATCTTGGTCAAGTGACTTGGGATGGATTGTGGCCTGAATACATGAGATAGCCGTGATGACTGTTTTCATGCGTGTCTCAGGGATACGTGGGATCCATTCCAGCTCAACCCAATCGGAGCTGAGAAGGAAACTAAGAGAAGATGTTTCCAGCTCACCCAGTACCTGGTGGCTGCTATCGTTGGTTTAGCCGTCTTGACCAGCGCCGTCATTTCTAAGGTAGGATAATCTGTGTCTGTCTGTTAACGGTTATTCATCTCTTCATCATGAGTAAGAAGCATCACCATAGAGTCCCTGGCACTAAATGTGAAGCCTCGAGCTAAAATCGTTACAATCTACTTTGATAAAAGTCTAAAACGATGTTTCTTTCACAAACAGACTCTGAAAAATGTACATGTATGCCTTCTCACTATTAGGTTCAACTAACCGTCTTGTCTTTTCTGGCCTAAGCAAGAAAGCCTTTCAAATACATTGTTCTATTTTAATGGTCGATGTCTCTATTTGCAATTCGATGTATTACATGGAGCATTTATTTAGCATACTGAAAATAAGCCTGAGAGCGCTCTGAATTGATTGGATTTGATCACTTGTCCATCAAATCTTTGGGTTTTCTTCATTTGAGTTTCTGTAGGTACTACTGTTGCATATGCATTATGCACAGCTCTTTCTGTGTTTAATATTTTGGCAGGTGGAAAAGGTTGTTGTTATATGAATTAAAACTTCATTTGACTATATGCTGTTGGTCTAAATGATGCCTGTCTTCAACAGTGTCCCTTCGTGTAGCCGACATCTTAGAGTTGTTGTTCCTGGGAAATATACAACAAACCATTAGTGACTAGAAAAGTTAATTAAACATCTACTGTTTGTACATCTACTCGTCTTCGTTTTGTGTTGCTTTTCTTCGTGTATGTGAGGGACTCAATGCCATTGTAAATAATGATCTCACGAGTATAAATAAAGGTTTAGGGAATGAATGAATGAATGAATGAATAAAAAAAAGCAAATTTATTATTGTTCAACCTGATGAACTTCCTTATTGGTGTGAGTGCAATAAATCAAGGCGGCGTCCCATAAAGATAATCAGGAAGTGGATAGTTTATCGTCTCTATATTTACAGAATGGAAGTACTGCTACACACAGCACTTTACTGTAAGAAAGGCTTTCTCTACAATCTCACTCTAAATAAAAAGAAAGATGAACATTAATTAATAAAACTAGTACATGACACACAACACATTGTTACTTTACTTTTGCTATTGTGTCTCAACTCTTCTTTAACACTCACTTGGTCTGTGCTCAATCAGGGCTCTCTCTTGGTGTTGTCAACCATGTCCAGTCCGACCTCTATGCGCAGCCCAAAGGAGAAGCAGTTCTACATGCTGATGCTGGTGTTCTGCCTGGTCTGCCCAAACTTCCTGGTGTTCCTGAAATCACTGTGGAGGTGTGCCTTCAAGAGCTTTGTACAACCCAACATGAAGACCATGGCATTTGTACGTTTTTCTAAAGTGTATTCATCTATTATATATTCTGCTTTGGTTGTAATTACAATGAATAAGATGGTGGAAAAATGTATATCATAAATCTTTCTTTACATGGTAAGACAATATTACAAGGCTATTGCAGCAATATTTGTTTGCATTCATTATTTACGGCTGTGCTCGGCTGTTGATATTATTAATCTTTATGAGGAAGACAATTCAGGGAATACTTTAGAATGGATCCACACTGTTGAATATTTAGCTGAACTTAATCTTGAACGCAGCGATACACAACTTTTATAAACTCAAAGGTCAGTTTGTGCACATTGAGATTGACGCTTCTTGTGGTTTTCAAAACTCACTGCACGCAGGAAACAAACAAGTCCCTCAGTGCCACTATTAATACATTCAATAACTCTAGGTGACCTATAGAGTTTGATTTCCTGATTAAGCTAAACCAGTCAGCAGCATGATTCACCACCAGATAGCCCCTAAAAATACTTTAAATATGTGAAGGTAATGATGTGTGCTTTTGTGTCCTTTCCAGATCTGTGCCATCGAGTGTCTGGTGTCTCTTGGTACTTCTATCCTGGTGCTAGTTGTAATGCCTCAGTTTGATGTGTTAACTAACCTCTTCATCAGCGGAGGAGTCTGCATTATTTCTGCCATTCTGCAGATAATATACAGACTACAGAGAGAAACATGGAAAATCCTGTTCCCAATCTGCTCCCTCATCCTCACAGTTGCTGGTAACTCTATCTTCATGTTTGCTTTCTAAACCAAAACTCTGTCTGCCTGTTTCTTTTTTTAACATGATATTTGTGTCACTAGTATCTTTGTAATTCATAACCGACAACTACTTCAATGTTGCATTTTGTGAGTAATTGACCCTACGCTAAGTACCGCCCCTCGAACGCAAACTGGCAAATGAATGAATGAATGAATGAAATTTATTTATAGAGCGCTTTTCACAGACATAACATCACAAAGTGCTTAACAGAGCAGAAATTTAAAAGCATAAAAACACAATGTGACCCTAGGGTCAATAAATTACATACACAGAGAAAAATAAAATAAAAAATAAAATAATAAAAATTAAAACATTTTAAGAGCAGGTCTAGGACGCTGGGTTTGAATGACAGATGGAGTTGGATATCATCTGCATATAAATGATAGGACACATTATAACTTTTTATAATCGGTCCCAAAGGTAACAGATAAAGGGAAAATAACAGAGGCCCCAGAACCGAGCCCTGCGGTACGCCACAAGACAGTGGAGAGGTAACAGACACAAAATCACCCACAGAGACATTGAAACTTCTGTCATTGAGGTAAGACGTGAACCAGTCTAACGCTATGCCAGATATGCCAACCCAATCACGTAGCCTCTTAATCAGGATGTTATGGTCCACAGTGTCGAATGCAGAACTGAGGTCCAGAAGAACTAGCACAGAGCAGTCACCTGAATCAGAACACTTGAGAATGTCATTTGAAACCCTCAGGAGAGCGGTTTCAGTAGAGTGTTGTCTGCGAAACACAGACTGGAATTCGTCGTACATGTTGTGCCTCTCCAGTGCAGTAGTAATTTGTTTGGCCACCACTTTCTCTAAAATTTTGGACAGGAAAGGCAGTTTTGATATGGGCCTGTAGTTCATGGGCAAAGCTGGATCTAAGTTTGGTTTCTTTAATATGGGCTGGATAGTGGCATGTTTAAAATAGGAAGGGACAATTCCTGTAGACAATGAGGAATTGACAATAGATGTTACTGCAGGGCCAATAATTAGCAAAACTTTCTTAAATAGAGAGGTCGGTATTATATCGAGAGGGCAAGATGATGGCTTTGTTTTGTTAATTAAGTCCATCAGGTCTTGAAGGCTGATAGGCTGGAAAGAGTCCAGAACAGTTGGAGATTGCGAGGAGCTACATGTAGATGAACAAATCCCAGGCTGAATGCCAGACCTAATACCTGTTACCTTATCAGGAATTTGTTGCAATCGTCAACAGAACAGCATGACAATGTAGAGACAGACGGTGAAACAATTCTCTTAATTGTGTCAAACAAAATCTTGGGATTTCTCTTTGAGGAAGAGATTAAGTTGGCAAAATAAGCAGTTCTAGCTTCCTTTACTCCAGTATTAAAGGAAACTCTGAGGTCTTTGAGATATGAGCGATGCACTTCTAGCCCAGTGGCTTTCCAGAGCCGCTCTGTCCTGCGACACTTCTGTCTCAGGCTGCAGACAGCGTCTGTCATCCACGGAGAAGTGTTGTAGGCAGCCCTGGTCCTTTCCTTAAGAGGTGCCACTTTATCCAGCAAAGTGGTGCAATGTTCATTAAAAGACTGTATCAAGAGGTCAACATCATTGAGATTTGTGTTAATATCGCAGCAGAAGTGCATAGAGAACTGATCAGCTGTACTCTGAGTAATAATGCGGGAGTGGAATGTGCGTTTCAGACACAAGGGGTCAGCATTTACAGAAAGATCAAAGAAAATACATTTATATCTCCGACCAATGGCTGTGCTCCATAGAGTCTCATGTAAGCACTTCAGATCGTCTTCAGGTCGGCTTTGTGGATTTTGCGCTCGCCACGGTGAAAACGTTGTGTACTTGTGATGCTCGTTACCCCCAGAGGTTTATACATTTCTAAACGTTGTGTTTCTACCTCAAAACCTGTGCAGATTACATTAACACATTAATTATCATTACCACTATGCTACACAAGCTACTGAAGGTATAATGAATGTATAATAATGGTTGTAACGAGGAATAAGGGCCTACACGGCTTTAACTGGCGATGGAAACAGAAGACCATTTGCTGTGATCTGCAGGCTGCTGACTTTCTGTTTTTCACTGCTGAATCAGTTTGACATTGTGAATACGGTATATCCTTAAAATGCATATTGTAGACCATTCTGTCTGCTTCTCTCTGAAATTGGTTTTCAGTTTTTCCAAAACACTTCTACTTATTGAGGGAGTGCAGTCAGTGACAGTGAGTGTTGTGTTCCATGTTGGCTCTGGCAGCTTGGCGGCGTAGCAGCGGGGGCAAGGCTTAGCGAAGGGTCCATTTGCTTGCATGATTGAGAATCAGAGCTACAAACTAACAGCTTAATTACTTCACTAACTAACCAACAGGTTACTGCCTCCTGGGAGTTGACTACTATGTCCGTGTATCATCATACGTGGATCGGCAGGGTGTCGAGTGCTTTATCTACGTTGGAATTGGAATTTTCTCTTCACTCCTCGTCTCCCTCTGCTGGTGGGAAAACCCGCTGCAAGCTACTAATCGCATGCAGGTATAATGTTGTTCTATTGATCTTCACTGCACCAACCTTTAAACTTTATTTATTTATTTAAATCAGCCAACAAACTAGAATTCACCCCTTACATTAACTCCACTGCAGACTGCAATTTAGTTATTTAATAAGCTGAAATTCCCCACTGACACCGAGCCTTAAACATAAAATCTTATTCTAATTGTTGTAACTGTCATTTTGTGTAATTGTACTGCCCACTTGGCCAGCTGTGGCAGGTATTTTCCCATGTGTTCTGATAGAGCTTCTGTTTTGTGCCGTTTCTAGTGCATATTGATAAACAGTGTTGTTGACGTGACGTGATCAGGGAGGCTTTTCTCATCTTTGTCTTTCTCCCTGTAGGAAACACTGTCAGAATTGGATGGTTTCAGGGACTTTGTGTTTGTCATCAGCAGCATTCTGAGGGTAATAGTGATAGGTAATTATCTGCCATCAATGTCTGCATTAACAGGATACTCTTGAATTGTATCATGAATAACAACATCACTGTGTGTTGCCGAGTTTTCTCATCATCTCACTTCCAACATTCACACCCTGGAGAACAAACAGATGTCTGTTGGAGGTGCAGATGGTTTGCAGAGCAAGTTCTCCAGCTGTGATGAAGTCTTCACTTGTTTTCAACTTTGTCGGGCGATGCCGTCTATTCTTCTCAACAAAACACTTCTATCCCTTTCTATACAACAGATAATTTCCTTATGCTTACTTGAATTTCCAATAACATTTCAAATTCACTCTATTTCATGTTTACCTATCCAAACACATAGTGCTCTTTTATATTGTACTTATGTAGGCTATATTAAACATACAAAACATATTTTGTGTTATTTTTTAACACAGAGTAACTTTATGAGATTGTCTCTTTTACGTCAGTGATAGCATGCGTTCTGTTGCAGGAGCGGTATACCTGTTCTACCATGTGCTGATTGAGAAGTCCATCATCTGGTCAAACTTTAGCCTGCAGGATGAGGACTGGGAATTACTGCAAATAGGACTGGTGCTGTTTTTCTTACAGGTAAGTGGGAGGAAGACAGCAAAACAAACAGATAGGTATACATGGACTATGTGAGTCATGGGTCCCCTTGGGATCTTTCCACTTTAAAGATCTGCAGCTCATCATTAGGTGCTAAGTGGTCACATGTCATTTTTCTACATCTAATGAAGATTTTGCACAAGTAAAATTTAAGAAAAGTGTAACCGTAAAAAAAAAAAAAACGTGTTTGAGCTCATGCAATATTTAGAGGTTTAATGGCCTCCTGATATAATATGTATCCTTTACATTCATTTCCTGTTCTAATCTAGACAAAGGAGTTTACAACTTGTAAGATTGACTTAAATTGTCCCCCGCTGATTCTTAATAATTCCAGCAGGTTTAACTCAATCAGAAATCAGAATCAGATCTTACCGGCATTCATTTACAAGTGTAATCTAAAGTAACCGGCTTCATTGAAAAATAGAATTTTGCACCCCTGGCAGTCATTTCTGTTCCTTTACTTCCTGTCTCAGGCCTTCTGCTCAGCGGCCTGCCACTGGTTCGGGGTGGTGGCCTGTAAGATTCATGCAGTCAGGATGAGCTTTGCGCTGCCAGTATGTTGCACAGCACCTGCAGTGCTGCTGTTGGGACTGATACTTTTCATAACACAGGCAGAGACTTTGGACGGAGCAGAGCACGGGAACATCACAGGTGTTTATCCTTCTAACACTTTGAGAATTGCCTGTGCTCCGCTTAAATGTACTTTTGTGTGACGTTAGTTTAATTTAATTATTTTAGGCATGCATCAGAATGTTGAAACATATGCCTTCCTATAGTCATGTGGTGGAATGCATACTTCCCTTAAAGCTATGTGTGATAAGAGTAAGAAACATAATTTCACTTATTACTAATTTCCTAAAACGTTAAGCTTTGTTTCCATTGCAGAGTTTTGTGAAAGCTTGTTCTACTTGAGTCATAAGAACACAACCCCTGTGGTTTTACTGGAAATCACAAGAAGCATTTGTCGAACGTCACTCAACAGGTACGTTCGTGTGTTTGCATCAGGTTTAAGCGATGTCCTGAAACGACCTATCATGCAAAGTAACATATGTAGAGCAATCTATGCACACATTCAATCTATGTATATTTTTCCCAAAATGATTATGACTATTTGATTGACAGCTACTACTTGCAATGGCCTTTTGGAATGCTGGCACTGGAGGGAGTGTGTATGTGGTCGGGCTTCGTCACGTGTACCTACTACGTATGGAAGATCAAGGTATCGACACACACACACACACACCCACACCCACACACACACACACACACACACCATTTAGGATAAGCTCCTTAAAGAGTCAGTTCACCAAATGATGAAGAGACATCCATCTTTCTGACAGATTTCACCTGCCACCTCTATACGATGGAGGTGAATGGAATTTCCTTTGTGTTGCTTACAGCATTGACAAAATACATTTTGCAAAAGTCAGCAGCAACATTTCTCCCCAGAAAAAATGTCAATGTTAACCTTGATGAGCCAAAGAACAGTATTCATTGGAACTACTATTTTACTATTTCTAGCAGCACAAAATGCAGGCACCTACCTACATGGCTAGATAGCAGTGAGTCAATGAGCCCTGAGTTAGTTTCAAGCATCCGTGTCATCTAAAGCTACATTCCAACATTACATGGCACAATGTACTTCTTATATTAGTATTAAGCAGAAAGACGTGGACCTAAAGCCTCTATGGTTCACCGTGTCTCAGGTCCAGCGTATAGAGAGAACCTCCCAGCTCTTTGTTCGTCGACTCTATGAATCTGCTTTCATCGACCTGTCTCTGCTGCTCAACACCAAGATGAAGGTGCCACGAGCCCGAAACCAAGAGAGGTGAGAGGGTTTCTCTGCTTATTTTATTTTTATTTGATTGTGGTCATATTTTAAGCAGGGAAATCAAACATCATATTAGGGTGATAATTGTGTGCGGATGCAGTCGAAGTACAGATATCCCTTATCCCACGGCCTAATGAATTTAAAATATGTCGTCATGAGTCGATTAGCTTCTGAAGCATACTTTTGGAGATTTTGATATCTCTGTGTGATGATGCACACAGACATTGTTGTGATGATGATTTAGAATCAACGGACTGTTGAGAGATGTGCATGGTCACAACATGAAATGTTTAAAGCTTCTGTTGAAAACCTCTCCCTTTCCTTCTCCCCTCTTCTCTCCCTCACAGCCACGAAGAGATGCAGAACTGTGTGATCTATCTTTGTGCCACCATGTGGCATGAGACCTATGATGAAATGCTTAAAATTCTCACCTCTAAGTTCAGGTTAGAGACACCGTCACCGCAGACACCTAGGTGTCCAGGTATCAGATACACAACATGGGTTTCATTCCTGTCTCACATCCCTTTAAAGTGCTAGTGAACAGCAACTAAAACTTGTTTTTATTCACCTCCACCGGTTTAACTTCTCACCTCGCTGCAGTGATGCAGAAGTGTACTCCGAGGTGTATCAGTACATTTTGTACAACAGAAGTGAACACTTGAGTAAATAGGCTTTTGCAGTATTGATAAGGTTGTTTGTTGTTGTTGTTGTTTCAGGCTGGACCGCTACCGAGGTGATCCAAAGGAGAACCATAAGGACTGTTTTGACTTTGAGTGTCACATTTATGTAGATGATGCCTACATGACTGAAAAGGACACAGGAAAGAGGCTGGTTAACTCCTACGTTACCGACTTGATCCATGTTGTCATAGAGGTTTATAGGTGAGATTATCCATTGATCTACTATCTATCTTTAAATGTATCCATCTGTGCATCCATCTATCCATCTTCCTAACCATCCTTCTATCTATCCATCCATCCAGGGTGTTTACCAACAAAGAACCCGATGATGTGTCGATCTTTGAAACCCCCTACGGTGGCAGGCTGATGTTTGTTATGCCAGAAGGCAACATGCTCTATATTCATCTAAAAGACAAAGCTCTCATCAGGAACAAGAAAAGATGGTCCCAGGTATGGTGTAGCCGTGGTGTTTTTGTCCTAAAGGTGTCATGGTACGAGACGCTATGCGGTGGCCAAAAGTAAAAGACTTGGACCAGCTAGTTCCCAGTTAGAACTGCATGGGAATGACTGAGATCTCTAATGTAGTGCTTAGTGCCCAGTAATCTCTGACAAAATTTAAGAAAATGTAATTTACTCACTTCTCATACACACTGTATGGCTGTCATACCCTAAATCCACATCAGCAAAACCAGTGACTTATTGAACAGTCTGTGAAATGTCAAGAAATGGTCAAAGGGCACCACATTTTCCCAGAGTCCAAAGCATTGTCTTGTTTGTTGTCAAATTGCTTGTTTTGTCCGAAGCCCAAAAGATTTTGAAATTATTTTCTTGACAAATTACTTAATCAATTATCAGAATAGTAATCATTTTCTGTGATATAATTAGCTATACCGTCTTGTCTATTTGCATTACGGCTCGTTTCAACACAATTTCATCATGTCTCAGATGAACCAAATGAGTAATTGACAAGTCACCTGTGTTAAAGGTTTTGGGGAACAAATACACTATTTAAATTGCACCCATGTCTTTAAGAGCCGGTCTTACTGTTTATGACTTTCAGATTATGTATATGTACTATCTACTCGGCTGGAAGGGCTACATCATCAAGAACCCTCAGAAGATCACAGTAAGACTTCTCTATTTTGAGTAAAAAGTGTACATCTTACTATTTTGACAGTATGCGTATAAAATATTTCAATGTGTAAAATATCTGTATTTTTTCCAGCGCCAGAATAACCCATGCAGAGAGAGCATGGTCTCCATGTATGGAGAAATTTATCTGTTGCCTCAGCACGACAATGACTACAAGAGGAAGTTCATCTCAGATGAAAACACCTACATCCTGGCTCTGGACGGAGACACAGACTTCCAACCTAAAGCTGTGATTCTGCTTGTAGACAGGTCAACCATTGTTTTTTTCCAGTCATTACTGTATATAAACCCTTTTTAAACATAGTAATTAAAAAGACTATTTTCATTGACAGGTTGAGGATGTACAAAGCCGTAGGTGCAGTATGTGGTAGAATCCATCCTACTGGAATGGGTAAGTAGACATTGTAATGGCCTTTGTTTGCAGAAGGTATAGTACTTTGATTTTACTTTAAGCTGCTTGTCCTGTGCAGCTGGAACGTGGAGCCAGTGCTGAGTAACCACTGTAGTTTACACTGGATCCATTCAACACAGTGGGGCATAGCAAAGTGTCTGCTGGCCAGGATTTGTAACAGTTGTGGGGGGGAAAGCCACCCAAATCCATGCCATTAAATGGCAAATATAACAAAGTCATGGGATGGATTATTTAAACACCTTATTTTTCATTCGTATCTTGCAAATATTATTCAGGACTTTATGATTTGGTTGTTCAAGTGGGAACTTCTTGACATAGTATAGTTATTACATGTAAAAGCTTATTTTTGTTGCAGTAATCAAAAGGTGTTGCCCGAAAAAAAAAGGGTAAATGATCATATAATCCCATATTAGTATCCCAGCACTGGTGCTTTCTGGGTTTAATTCCCTCCGCATAGTCAAAAATGAAGTAAAATGGGTTATATGAAGCTAATTTGTCTGAAGGTAGGAGTAGGGTTGTATACACACGACATTATGCTCAGATAGACTCCAGCTTCCATAACCCTCAACCCGACTGAGTGGAAAGAAATCATTTAAGAAATGAGCATTTGTGAAGGATTGTCTCTTTTTTATTTTCTTCTTTTATTTGATGATTCATTTGTCTCTGTGGTCATCTCCTGCCTGCTGCCCTCCCAGGTCCCATGGTGTGGTACCAGAAGTTTGAGTATGCAGTGGGCCATTGGCTACAGAAGACATCAGAGCACGTGTTTGGCTCCGTGCTGTGCAGTCCAGGATGTTTCAGTCTGTTTCGAGGATCATCCTTAATGGACGACAACGTAATGAAGAGATACACAACTACTGCAACAAGAGCTTCGGAATATGTGCAATATGACCAAGGTCGGTTGGGAGGAGCACCAACCATTTTTACCTCGCTTAATTTAGTCTCTTTAACATAATTTTTTGACTGTTCACGTCCATCTCTCTTCTGTGTCTCGTGTGTGCATGTGTGTCTAGGGGAGGATCGCTGGTTGTGTACTTTGTTACTGCAACAAGGGTGGCGTGTCGAATACAACGCTGCATCAGATGCATACACCAACTCACCAGAAGAGTTCAAAGAGTTTTATAACCAGAGGAGACGATGGGGACCATCTACACTGGCTAATACACTGGACCTTCTGCACAGGTTAGGGTTACCTATTACTACTGCTATTAAGATTATAATCAATATTTAAAGTGGTGTTTACATCCTTAGCATAGCACTTTCTAACTCACCTGATTTAGTTCCCGTGTTTCAGAGTGATATCTACAGGCTATACATCTATAATGAGCCGTTTACTATAACACTATGACATGTGCATTGTATCGTTATAACACTTTCTGTTGTTCGGACTTAAATCACAGTGGTGAAGAGACGGTGAAGAGAAACTCGTCCATCTCCAGGCTTTACATCTACTACCAGATGTTCACCGTTGGTTCCTCTATCCTTGGTCCAGCCTCTGTGACTCTCATGATAGCAGGTAGGTTCAGGTTTACTTTAATACAAGCCCTTCCTTTTGGGGGGTTGTCGAACGACTGCAGTGGAGCAAACACGTTCTTCTCTTCTCCCACTCTGTCCCTGCATCTCATCTCCATTTCTTTACCCGTATCATATGCATCAATTAGGTCACAGTCTTTCTGCATTCATATGAACTGAAAATAATGTTATTGATGTTATGCTCTGTAAGTGTAGTTGTTCATAGATAGCAAGTTAGGGCTGGGCGATATGGAGAAAATCAAATATTACAATATATTTGACCAAATACCTTGATAGCGATATTACGAAAATATTGTGAGGTTGACTATTGGTGCTTTCACAATACGATTTTTGATAAATAATCACCAGAAATGTGTTATAATGACTAAGTGGGTAAAGGCAAATGCTGCCTTTAAAACAAAGTAAAAGACAACACTTGTGCTATATTACGATATCCAAAATCTAAGAGACGATATCGCTATCATTTCGATATATTGCCCAGCCCTCAAACAAGTTACGAGTTACGCTAGCCTACTAGTGTACTGTGTGTCATTTCTTGTCATTCTGATTAGTTGGTTTGTAAATATGGATCGTGGGAACTGTGACGACGTCGTCACAGAACAGTAACATTGTAAGATTTGGGTCTTAAATTTATGATCAGAATTTTTTACTCGGACAGTTTTTTTTTGGTTACATTTTCATTGTCCATCTACCCGTCTCTGTTGTCCCCCCCCCCCCCTCTGTCTTTTCTTGCCAGGTGCTTTCCAATTTGTCTTCAACCTCGATGGTACAGACGCCATCATCGTCGCAAGCATTCCTCCTGTGTTCTACGTCATCATCTGTTTTATAGCCAAGTCCAATAACCAGATAACCATTGCTGCCATTATGAGTATTCTGTATGCGTTCCTCATGACTGCATCCTTCTTTGCCATCATCGGTGGGTAAAAACTCCTTGTGACCTCGTACTTTTTTTCAAATTATGATTGAGTAAATGATGTAAAACCCTTAAATTCTCACACACACGTCTCGTTCTGCTTTTAGGTGATATGGTGATTCAGGGCACCTTCCTGACCCCCACTGGCTTGTTTTTGGTTTCAATGTCAATCATGTATGCAGTGACAGCCATGCTACACCCAGAGGAATGGGGTACGGTTATATTATATTATTTTAATCATCATTCTCACATTTGTAACGATCATTATTCACTATGATGTTAACAGTGTTATGTTGTGTTATATCCTGTTATGTAAACAGCTTCATGTTCAGTTATGTTATGTAGTCTTCTCTTCCAGGAATGATCATCTATGGTCTGATGTATTTCATCTGTATCCCCAGTGGATACCTCCTACTGACCATCTACTCACTGGTTAACATGCACATTGTGACATGGGGCACAAGGGAATCCAACAAGTAATGGTCCAATCTTCTGATAACTTCATTCTTAATTTACAATGATATTAAGCAAAGACAAGCAGCCAGCAATCCCCCTAACTTTCAAATCTAATCATCCGTTGATCTAAAGCCAATCTACCGGATGACCTGATTACCTGACTTGTGACTTCAGCACTAACGGTGTTAGTTGTGATCGTGAAGATAACTGTCAGGAGGAATGTAAAACACTGTTGTAGACAAAGTAGTATTTCCTGCTCGTAGCACAGGCTGCAATGATAGAGAATGTGTCACTATAATCAATTCATTCAATATTGTGAAGTTGGTCATTATGCATACAAACTCCAAAGAGGGAAGAATTCTCCCCGAATATCAACATACTAAAAATAGATGTGATACAGAAATAATTTCATCAATCAACCTCCATTTATCTGGCATTCATAAGCTAATAGAGAAGAACACAGACATGTGAAAAACATGAAACGGGGAAAAAAAGGAAATATGGGTTTACGTCAAAGATAATTAACCTTGACTTGTGCACTCAAAGAAAAAGATCAAATTTAAAAAAGCAAGACATAAAATATTACAATTATGTAGAATTTAATATGATGATGAAATCCATCCAGCCATCCACTCATTTTCCGCTGCTTATCCGGTTTGGGTCATAGTGGGAGCAGGCTATTGTTGCCCAATGATTCACGTATCCATAATACAGATCAGTGGAGTTATTTATGCCAATCTGCATTCTTAATAATCACTGTATCCGTCTGTATATTAATGAGAGTATGTCTGTTCTCACTGTCTATCATTCTGTTTGTCTGTCAGGGGAGAAGGAGAAAAGAAGAAGAACCATAACATCCTGTGTGACAGAAACTGTACACTTTGCTGCTGGGACATGAAGTTACAGGTACTGTTCCCAAACAGCCACAGGCAACACTTCCACAGCATAAATAGAAGGACAGATGTATTCATGTTGTCCTGTTGCTTTACAGATAACACAGGAAACAGAGAATCTGATGCTTCGACAGATGACAGGCCAGACTGCACAGCAAGCTCCTCCCCTTCCTATCACCAACCAGGACTCATTGATTCAACAGATGGAGCCTGAAGCCAAAGTTGATACAAACACAGAAAAAGCTGTGGAAGGAACTAAGAACCCTCCAACTGACAAACACAATGGGATGGAAGGAAAAGGCAATGACACCATTTCCTACAGCAGGTATTCATTTGTCTTTTCTTTCTTCTCTTTTTCTATTGTTTGTCAATAATCTATTCTGTCACTAAATATTTCAGTCAATCAGCCATCAGCAACCTCTATTGCCATAAAGTTAATCAGCTGTCACTCGTGAGATTATTAACACTTCCATGCATACCAGCTCACCTCTACATTCTGCTGACTTGTGACAAAGGCAAATACACACTTGGATTGTGCAATCAATACTCAACATTCACAAAAATGCGTGTGTGCCTGTGTGTAGTGATGACAGTGTCAACAAAAAAAGCATATCACCAAGTGTATACGACGAAGATGACGTTGAGGAGGATGATGACTCAATGATTGCTGACCCAGACGAAACAGAGCTTCCTGTCAGCGGTGAGAAGCACTTTCATTGTATTTTATTTCCTAAATATTATGTATTCTGTATGTATGCAAAACATAGTATGTATAGCATACTATAATGACATTAATGGTGTGTGTGTGTGTGTGTGTGTGTGTGTGTGTGTGTGTGTGTGCGTGTAGACTGGGTAATGCCGGTGAAAGCAGAATTTTTGAAGAAGCTGACTTATGCCAACATGAAGAGAAATCTACAGGAACAAATACGGTAAATAATCAACATTAAGGAGAGAAATGTACAATGTTTGTATGTCCTTTATCACAAAGGCTTTTGTCACAATGTCCACAAAAACTGTGGCAATGTTTGCACAAAGTGAACATTGAATTTAACTGCAAACAAATGAATAAACTTCTTTGTGTCCACGTGTCCTTTGCAATTGTATAATACGAGTTTTGTTTTTGTGGATTCTTTGTCCACAGCTACACACTCCGTAACAAAAATGAGGATGACGTGTGTGAGGAGTTGGTCTTAATGTTAACAGACACTCTTAACGGAGAGCTAAGTGGAGTGGGGCCTGAAGATGTTCTGTCAGAAAGCCAGCTGGAGGAGTTAGAATATGCCCTGGAAGAGCATGTAATAATAATAACAACACATGAACTATTAATTACAATGTATAATTGTATTATATCACATTCAAATGCTTCCATTTCACGACTTCTATATTGTCGCAATCTCGGACTGTATAATAAAGCCAGAAATGTAAACAAAAAAAAAAAAACAATAAAAGAAGATGAATTATGGATGATCACTGAATCTCTAATGGACTTCCTGTGTCTCACAGTCTCGGCGTATCCTTAGAACCAGTCAAATGGAGAAATTAGAGAAAAGAGTAACCGCAGCAATCAAGAAAACACTCACCGCCCCGCAAGTGCAAAAACTTGATGAAGTAAGACTCTGATTCAACCTCTGGCTCTGTGAGAAGAAACACCTCACAGGTATGAAGTCAGGTGTGTAAATACATATTTGTGTGTGTTTTTAGGGTGAGCAGGACTTCTGGAACAAGCTACTTGAGCGCTACTTGAAGCCTATTGTTGACACCAAAACACATCTGGAGGAAGTCACCAGAGAACTAAAGTCACTACGCAACAAGGTCGGCTATCTTTAATTGTTCGTGCAAATGTGTCACTTGTTTTGTTTGTGCCATGAATTCTGGTCTTGTGGACATACAGTACATGTAATAATGATACCTCGAGCACCACAGCTGATTTATCTCACGCTGGATTTAGAATTAGCTAACTTTGTTATGCTGAGCTCAGACTACACAAGTTATAAAATCATAACTGATTTTGATAATGGGTTGATTCACAGAGATACAGTACATAGAAACTTCACGGACGTTCTTCTCTCTAATGTCAAACATGCACACACTACAAGATGTGAAAACCATGACCCATCACACACTACAGGATATTGTTTACCGTGCCAGAGGGAGCAATACATGTGGTCTCATGAGGAAGCAGATACAAACTAAATGGAAAGTCATGTGGAGCAACAACTTGCAGCTGTAATGCTTTGCAAAAAACAAAAGCAGATGGCTCTGAGAAATGGTTGGGGAGACGCGTTCAACGCGAGTTGTTTATTCCAGTGATTCTCAAAGTGGGCTCTGGGGGCCCCAGGGGTTTGTGTCACTCTGCCAGGGGGGGGGGGGGCTTCATGCAATAATTTGCTATGAATCATAGAATTGTGCTGTATCATTAAAAAGTGCATATCTACAGATGGGGACCAGTTCCACCCACAAAACAAACATACTGTGTCCATTACTCCCACTCACGTTAGCTTTGGGCCAGAAACTCTGATATCAGTCCGTCACTCGCTCTAATGCAAACACTCCAATCAAACAAGTCTGAAGTAACAGACTGAATTACTATCATGTGGTATGCAACACTGCTATGATTAATTGTTATGATGTGTATCGAGCTTTCTGCCAATTGATACATGTTTCTGTTTATCACTATGAAACAGGTCTGAAGTATTTAGATTGAAAGGTTTTAGGATACAAATAGTTCCAATGGCATGTAAGGGTACAAATGGTAGTAAGCATATACTACCATTGACATGTTATTAATAACTGGTATGAAGACTTCAAAGTATCATGAGATTCTCCTTCCTTCCCAAAGGCTGTGTTCCTGTATTTCATCATCAACGTGCTGTGGGTGGTTGCTACCTTCATCCTGCAGGCCATTGGAAATGATATCATCAGCATCAAGATCCCGAAATACTTTCCGAATGGAACTCTATCTGATATACCCCTCAAGGTTGGGACAGACAGACAGTCTTGTAGCATCTTTTTGAATGTGTGTCACTACTGCTGTAACTCTTGCTCAAAGTAATCACCATTACTGTCATTTTGTGTTGATAGGTGGAGCCTGTGAGTTTGATGTTCCTGTTGTCTTTTGCTATTCTTCTTATCATCCAGTTTGTGGCCATGTTATATCACAGGTACACAAACACACAAACACACTTCTGTATGTGCCGCACACCCACTACATTGTCATTCATATTCAGCTTTTACTTTTTTGCGGCTGTAATATCAGACTTGTATTTGACAGCCTCGCAGCTAACTCACAGACTGAGCCTGAACTTTCAGATACTGGAGGTTTTGATTGTGTGGCAAAAATAAAAAACAAAGCTATTAAATGTTTTCCCGCACCATGAGCAGGACATTTCTTATTCGTAGATACCTGCCTTTATGGAAAATTAGAATTACTGCTGTCCATTTCCTAATATTCCTATTCCAATACTTTCTACGTGTGTTTGATCTTTGTGCCTCTCTGTTTGCAGAGTCTACACTCTGATCCATGTGGTGTCCTATCGCAGCACAGAGAAAGACTACAGACTGAAAGAATATGTAAGTAACGACGCTCAAAACGCACACAAATTAGAATGTGACTGTCTAATTTGACACGCGCCGATTTCAAAATGAACCGAAAATATTTTAACACTTCTCAACGGGTGGGCTTGAAATGCGCCTGGAAAGGCCCAGAGTGAGAGTGGCTCGTGGTTCCATGCGTGAGCTCCACAGCTCCCCTCTTCACGTGGACGTAGTGCTTACTGTACCTATACTACCGTGGATTGATACATAAAATGGAACTGATTTGTTCTGTGAGACTGGTGAGTGATGGGTGTAAAAGTCCCACATTTAAATTTGACTTAAGTAAAAGTTTAAAAAGTATTGTTGTCAAAATATATTGAAAGTACCAAAAGTAAAAGTATGTATTGTGCATAATGGCCCATTTCAGAGTAATATATAAAATAACATCATTAGATTATTGATGCATTATTGTTTTCATCAATGTTTTCGGAAGTTTGTTTAATTTAAACGAATTTGCTAATTTTCTTTAACTTTAATTGGGGTGAAAGAGGCCACAGACAGTCGCCTCCCTTCACATTATTCACCTGTGTCTTGGTGCTCCCTCGGTTTCCCAGTGGCGTGAAGTTCCTAATTAAGGCACGTGAAGTTTCGTGTATATTCAATGCACATCTGACAATTGAGAATGGCACTGCAAATATGACATTTTTAAAAAATATTGAAGATTGATTTATAATTAATCCCAACGAGAGTTTTAACTACTTAATATACAATTCCATAATTTTGTTTCGTGGTCTCCAAACCCTCCACAAAGGGTCATGACATAAAGATTTTTATTTTTTTTAAATCGGACTCTTAACACAAACAACAGCTGTTGTGACTAGATGACATAAAAGTACAATATATATATATCTCTAATGACTAAATCTACTTTGGTACATTCCACTGATGTAATGTCAGCTACTTTCCACCTGCAGTTCCTGGGCAGGTAGGGACAAGACTACAAAATACAATAGATACAGAATTATACGTACAATATATTTGTAATATTACGTTTTAAAAAGCATAATTTGAAGGGCTGTAGTATTCAAGTTTTACAAGGCTCAAATCTTCTGCAGACAAAGCAGCTTTTTAAAAGGTTTTGACTCAGTATTGTATCTATATTTTTCAATAATCAAAATGTGTGCTGATTGGACGCCCCAGTAGTTCACCTGGTAGAGAATGTGCACCATGAGTCAAGTACAAGGCTGAGTCCTTACCGCAGACGCCCATGTTTGATGATTGTTTTTTTTGATGATTGTAAAAATCAGCCAGAGAAACTCTGTTAGGATAAGTCCCTTCATTTACATGTCTTTTTTGTGTGTCACCTTGGAGGATGAGGAGGATGATGATGATGGCTTGACTCTGGAGAACCACAGCGCCAAGGGACTTGAGTTTACCAGTGATGACCTGTAGACCATAACAACCAACTTGAACTAATGAAACCCAGCCACCGGCACACATTGGCATCCCCAGTGCCAACAGGTCCCTCCCCATTTAGCTATCACATTGCACTAAATACAGTGGATGTTAATGATTGGCACAGGGGAAATCATTTATAACAGATTAAATAGGCTTTGTTCAACAACTTAAACTGAGTAATTGTTAAGATGTGAGCTCATGTTCTATATAATGGGTTCTTAGATAGTAGTGTTTTCTAACGATCAAGAGTTTTGTTTGAATGTATCTGCTTTTAAGACTTATATTTATTGTATTTGAAGTGTGGTTGAATGCATCAGGTCCTGATCCAAATCGAGGGTCTCTGAAGATAGACGGTGTTATGTGGTACAGACTGCACATCTCATTGAAGGCTACAATCATTTAGGCAGATTTGAAAAAAATCCTTGTAGAGGACACACAACCTCGTTATCAGAAATTCTACAGAAAGATGTGTAATTTGTTGATTCTTTGTTGTTATGTGCCTGCAACAAAACCTGTTATTAATCACAATGAGCTAGATGTAGATGGAAGCAAATCATTTCCATTTGTCCAAGTACATGTTTTTATGAGCTCCTTGTCAATTCCCACAAATTGACAGAGACAGTCCTTCGAAGATTTTTAAATGCAACATTTGCACATGAAAGATTGTAAGAAATACTTCAAACATTTTTCTTGTGAAAGTCTGGTGGAATTTACACCATTTCCTTTTTAAAATGTTGTCAAGATGGTATCATTGTAATTATGTACACAACTTGTAACAATGCACTTTACAGGGATACAATGTTCTTGCAAAGATTTGAGTAAACTCCCATGGAAACTACTGAAGTGATTAAATCAATTAAGTGGACAGTCTGTATTGTAAAATAAAGATATCAGCAGCCAACACTTATCTTCTCGTCTCATTAACGTGCTCGATATGAACAAGATTTTTAAAAAATGTTTCCAATTGTTACAGAAATGTGCTTATTGGACGTCAGGGGAAGCTGTTTATAGTTGCTCCTCAGTCTGACGTCTCAACCTAATAGCACTAAACTGTTAGTGATCAAGTTTGCACCGACTGTATATTTTCTTAAAGTCCAGCTGAAGTTAAAAGTTAAGCATCTGGCTCCCAAAATCAGTTCACATTCAAATCTATACATGCTTATTTTCACACCCCTTTAAAAAGAATAAACACAACCGGAGTTGACCTTTTTTTTAATGAAGAAGTCATTTCATTCAAATGAATGGAAGCAGTAGATACAGTTCTTAAATAGACGCAATTGCAAAGCAATCATCCAATATATTTTGGGGAAGAGTTTCAGCCGACGGTAAGGCAGCAACCTGACACTGAGCACAACCTTAAAGGTTGTGTGCACCTTTCTACTCAGAGTTATCTGTAGTCATGTAACAAGTAGCATGTTGTTCGGTCAGAATGAGGCACCTTCCATTTTTGGACAACGGCTCAAGTCTGATTACTGCCACCGATCCCCAAACGCCCAGTACAACAAAAAAAAAAAAAAAAGAGGAACACTTTTACATAAAACTCAATGAATGACACATTCATCTCATTTTCAGTCATTATGTAATGCTAAACTTTTACTATAGATTGATTTCCCAATGGTTTTGATCCTATGCCATTCAAGACATAGCAACTGAATGATGCTCTAATACATGTAGTAAAAATGTCACTTCGTGAGTTTCCACTTATGTGTCACCTAAAAGAAGCACACACTGCCAGTGGTCCTGTGTAAATAAACTGCACACAGAAAGTCTGATCTTAAACCAGCAGGAAATGGCTAGTTGGAAATAAATGTAATTTACTCAGATATCATGGAACTTTCACTTTATTTTGAAAGAGGGGATGTTTGTAATTTAATGTACTGTATATGAAACTTCTGAATATCTGAAAGCTGATGATGGAAATCCATTGATTCCACTCACTCACTCACAGCCAATAAAAACCCTGCCAGCCCAGATGCGTGGCAGTCAGTCTTATCAGTCCCCAGGTTGGCACTTCAATAATCAAAAGCGTCACTGAAGTTGCGTTTGTGTGTCCCTCTTTTTTCGCCAAAGCCGCCGCGACCGCGACCGCCATAGCCACCGCTCCGAAACCCGTTACTACGGCCACCATATCCCCCAGAACCACGCCCTCTCCCACCTCTGAACCCTCCTCCTCCTCCTCCTCCTCCTCCACCACCACCACCACTGAACTGCTTCTCCTCCAGGTCTGGGAGCTCTGTGGCTACAGTCAGCTGCCAACGCCGACCGTCCTTCCAGCCCTCCTGTTGATGGATCAAGTGAGGTGAAAAGGATGTTAGCAGGACTGTCAACTTCAGCAACAAACATGTTGTATGTTAGATTATTTATCTTGACTTTGAGTTTTTTCAGTTGTTCTCACCAGAACCTCCTTGACTTTGTCAGCTGGGATGTCAAAACAAACTCCCTGTTACAGACACAATAAAGGGTGAGATGGTGAGTGCTGTACTATCAGGATAAGAGCCACAACAGGTCAGGTCACACCTACACAAAGGTTTCACACATTTACTTTGGCAACAGATGTTTTGTTGTTTACTTGCTGTGAATAAATAGTTGTGTAACATGTCTAGTGTGGCCGTAGCAGCTGAATTGATATATAAACTAAATAGTGTTGCTCTTTAAAGAAATAACACGGCTTCTTTTATCAATTTGCATTTCGATTTACCACCTGGTTTCCCCATTTATTTTTTCATTTGCCAAGTCTATGACTTCCATGTATTAGGCACTGTGGGGGCCTTTCTTTGGCAAGACATTACAAGTGGGTTGTAACAAGAGCACCACTTGGCTGTGATCTGACCCAATTATATGTAGCCTACATCCATGCTCAACTTTTACAACTGTATACATCAAATCGAATACACACTTTCACTAACACTCAAACCCCATTGGTAACTTTAAGATAATAAAAAAAGCTTCCACAGTGGCTCCCATAATAAAAATGCATCATAATCTGGAATTCGAAAATTAGGAAATGTAACAAATATAATTTCTTTGATGCGTATAAAACCCCAGCAGCACCTCCCATATGTACACACGTGTGTGTTTACGTACTGTTTTGCCTTTGAGGAAGGTCATTCGTTGAATTTGGTTCTCAAACTCTTCTCCGAGCTGCTCTTTGATGGATCTCCAGGCGTAACCCAGATTATGCATCTCCTGGGAACACACCATCTGCACAGTGGTGAAACCCTGCGAAAACAAACAAACAAACAACGAGTTAGGTGGAATTAGGGTTCTACAGCACCTAGAAGAATAACGTGTGTGTGTGTGTGTGTGTGTGTGTGTGTGTGTGCGCTGCGGTTTGAACCATCCTGCAGTTGTTGTGAAACCCTTGCAATGTTTTCAGTACGTTATTCAGCAGTGTGCCCAAATGTGTTACTATAATGTATGAGTTTGTGTGTATATAACTTTGTGTGTCTTTGTTTGTGAGATTTGTAGGTTGTTTATAACGAGTATAAAAGCAAACTTACAGTATCAGAGTTGAGCAGTGACCTCTGCTCGAGACTTGTGGCTCCAGAAATATGTGCCAGGGCAGCGGCGAGAGCATCGACCGCTCCTCTCTCGCCGATCAGTTTCTCAGCTGACGCTCTAAAGTACGCGATGGCTGTAATTGGAACAGAGTCCAGATACCTGAACACAATACAGACAAAAAACAATCAGAACAATCCAAAACTTCATTGCTTACTTTGACACATTTGTTTCACATTGAGCATGGCACTAAATTAAGCTCATGAACCAAATGATGTGGCTGACACAGTCAAACAGTAATCAACAACAGTAGCTTCATACATCCAAAACAAAATACATATGGTTCCACTCGGCTCCCACTATGATGATCTACCTGACGGCATCCTTGCTTGAGGACTTGATGATATCGTTGGCAGTGGGAACGCCAACTCGTTTGAATGCGATACCCTGGAAAACAACCAAACACAATGCATTTTAGTTGACACTCAATATGGAACCACCTGAAGTACAGTCAAACAAGTTGCACTGAATGTCGGAATTTCTTTGTCAATAAAATTGTGCAACTTTAAAACACCATTTCAGACTACAGGGATGAGGTGGCTTTCAGTCTGGCTGCTATGGAGCGCAGCGTTCTCTTCTTCTTTTATGCACTACTTTTGATTCTCCCCTTCCTTCCTGTCCTTATTCCATACCATGTGTAGCACAGATGTGACTGCAAGCTGTGTTTTGTATATTTTCCTCATAGCTCCTCAAACAATTCAACTTGTCGCTGTTTGTTGCCCTTTCGTCCTCTTCCACTTGGACTGAATTAAAAAAAGAAAGACACGTACTGCTTTGTGTTCTACATAGCGCAGCTGGTCCTCCTCTTTCCTCTGGTAGAAACAGATGCAGACTCCAGGTCTGCCGGCTCGGCCCGTACGTCCTGAACGATGGATGTATGACTCCACATCCTGACACCAACCACAGAGACAGAAACATTTTCAGAGCAAGTAGAGGTGACAAGTTCATATCTCGTGCAACACTGTTACTGAGAAAGTGTGTAGTCAACATTTGTCTTGTTTTATGTGAATGGAATCAGTACCTTAAGATCAGATCATATTTGTAAATCTAAAATGTAACTTTTACATAGAAATGGCACGTTCGATAAATGCAAAGATAAACTCTCACTACTAAATTCTTAGTACTGGCAACACATCTCACCTTGGGTGGAGAACACTGGATCACCAGGTCGACTTCAGGGATGTCTAATCCACGGGCTGCAACGTTGGTGGCAACCAGAACCTCAAACGCCCCGTTCCTGAAGCCCTTCAGCGTCAACTCTCTCTGTTTCTGAACAATATCACCATGGAGGCACTGGGCACTCTGACAAGATACATACAAGAAAAAGAAATTAACACTACACGTTTCCTTGCTTCTTAATAGCAGTTTGTACTGCTGCTGTATGAATCGGATATTCGTAAACTGTTGCATGTGCGAGTGTCTACCTGTTTGATGGATGCATTCACGGTAAGTTCGTTGACATCTTTCTTCGTCTCAGAGAACACGATGGTCCTGCCGTGGCTGCCGCTGTAAACCTGGATCACATCTCCTATTACAGCTGCACGCTGTGACCAGTGGCACGCTATGGCCAGATGCTACGGAGAGACAAACACAAGGTGAGAGAAGCCAGGGCGTGACAGAAGAGACTGTTTCATGTATACAGCTGGCAGACTTTAACTTGATTACAATTCCATTGGTGTTGATGATGACAAATACAGCAGTTTTTCTACTTTCTGGGCTTTCCTGATGGAGATATATGCAAACGTATTTCACAGTCTCAACTACTGTAACTGTCCCTGCTTACAGGCAACTTTAAAAGCTCTAAGCCTAAGAATTAAGAATGCTAGAAAGCTTGTTAAATTGCACTAATCACCGTTTTCACCTCTGCCAACACACACACACACACACGCACACACACACACACACACGCACACACACACACACACACGCACACACACACACACACACACTTACTTCTACAGTTGTTGCAGCTCTCTGTGTTTTCTTGCCGATCAGATCGACATGTTTGCACTCTGGTCTCATGTATTTCTTAGCAACCTCGTAAACCCAGGGAGGGCAGGTGGCCGAAAACAGAAGAGTCTGTGGGTTGGAGGCGGAGCCTGGAGAAGAGCGCACACACACACACATTTTTACATACATGACCACTCTATACCGATTTTTAAATCTACTTTAACACAGCGCTCCAGACTGCAATCATTTTCATTTTTTTTGAGTGTGTGGGGTTAAAATTCACGTGGTCGCATTCATGCGAGAGTATGAATTACAGGCTTGCAGCTGGGTACTGACGAAAAGACGAGCACACACACACACACACATCATGTCGTCGGTGTGGAAGTGTATGATGATTATTATTATGTGATTATTGTGAAATTCGGAGGAAGAAAAGTAAAGTAAGTAAAGACTAAAAGTTAGTCTGGAGCCCTGTTACATATATGATACACAAATCAAAATCCTAACACTCCACCTTACACACATACATAAATATGAACACAAATACAAGGACACCTATATATACGCTTTGCAAGAAGATTTTCACACAACACAGATTCACGTTACCTTTCTCATATGATGAAGACAAAATCTCTTCAACCTGCTCTGCAAATCCCATGTCCAACATTTGGTCTACTTCATCCAGAACAACATGTTTCAGTTGAGAGAGGTCGAGTTTATTGTTCTGCAGGTGGTCTTTGATGCG